GACAGCGAGCATGACCGACGCCGAGGCGCAGAGCGCTCCACCATCGGCACCGGTGGAAGACAAACCACAGCCGGAGAGGAAAGTTATAGGTGGGTGTAGAAGTACTCTATCCGCCAAGATTTCTTGGTAAATATTCAGAAAACGTTTAAAGTTAGCGCCTTCTGACCGAGCCTGGGTGTGAAAACCAGAATGTGTGTGTGTGTGTTTATATATATATATTTTACCCTTCCTTCTGTGATATTTCTTGAAGTGTGTGATCCAAGCTGGTTGAATTTGTGTTAATTACAGCAGCCTGGGGTGCCACTGCTGTCTCCGGTGTGGTACTTTTTAGGCAACACGTGTTTGAGGCGAGTTTTTCAGGTTTTTCTGGGGACTATATTCCAAAAATAAAAAAAATGCTTAAACTCGCGCTGTTGAAAACTAAGTTATTTGACTGTCACACATATTGGCTTGTAAAGCTCACGCCGAATATTAAAAGGCCTCGAGGACACAGGTGCTTTCTCAAAAAAAAGTTTTCCCCACATGTCAGTCCAGTGGCTGCCTCTGGTTTAATCGCAGGTGTTTGTGTAGGTATGGAGCTGATTCAGACTGTATAGAAGTCCATGTTAACCGAACACTTTGAACGCATGACCCAATTTTTCTTCCTTTATCAGCTGTCGTTCACGCGCTTGGTAAGCGAAACACGCGCACGCGCCCTCCCAGCTGCAAATCATTGCAGAAGGAAATTTGGCCAAATTAAATGAGTTTAGACTGCCGTAAAACACACAAACGAGCCGGCTTTGAGCTTGTCTCTGTGAGGAAGAATACATCGTTCAGGTGTCCGTGTGACTCGTCTTGAACTCCTTAATTGTCGGAAGTGTTCCCCATGTCGCCTCGTGACCTAGTGCAGGCCTGGTTTCAAAGTCTTGCGGTTAATGATTGATCCATAGAGCTCCCACTTGCGAGCAGGTCACCGCTGATGTAATCAAGATAACGGTGTGAGCTCTGAATGACTACTTGCTCTATAACACTTCCTTATTCTTTTGATGTGCTCTTGTTGTAGCCACTTTGGTCCAAGGCACAGTGAAATGGTTCAATGTGCGTAATGGGTATGGATTCATTAACAGGTAAGGTGTTTCGAATTCTCCCTTATTTCTTTTTAGTAGTCCTCACTTTTTTCAGTCTATTGTTTGCTAATGAAGTTTTATTTCTTGCAGGAATGACACCAAAGAAGATGTATTTGTTCATCAGGTAAGGTCTTTCTTTTTTCTTCATGGGAGTTAATTGTACCCACATTTTTAATGCTAGCCATGTCTCCTCAGACAGCAATCACGAAGAACAATCCCAGGAAATTTCTCCGCAGCGTTGGAGATGGGGAAATTGTAGAGTTTGACGTGATTGAAGCAGCTAAGGTATGGCAAGGACAAAATATGACATTCTCGGCTGTTTAAAAAGGTATAAAAAAAAACAAACTGCTCTTGGAGAAAGCATTTCAGGCATGTCTCTGTTCCAAAGGGCTCCGAAGCAGCTAATGTTACCGGTCCAGGTGGTGTTCCGGTAAAAGGAAGCCGCTATGCGCCCAACAAACGGCGATTCCGTCGACGGTTCTTTCCCCGAAGCCCTCGGCCCGGCGACCAGAACAAGCCAGCCGATGGGCAAGGTCCTGATACTGACCGATCGGGAGAGAGTGAGGGAGCGAGGCCTCAGCAACGCCGCCGTAGGCCGCGCAGGCCACGGCCGGAGACACAAGATGTAAGCTAAAGCGGAAAGACGGGTGTGAGGGAGACTACAACCTTTAGGATGATGCTGGACATTGAGATGGATTGAAGTAGTTGAACGCTTATGATGTTAATGGTCTTTTGTCTGTTTTTTCCAATTTAGGGTGAAGTTGGCGAGCAGAAGGATGGAGACGAAGAGGGTGGTCAGACACAGAGTGATCAGACACAGAGTGATCAGACCCAGCGGCCGCCACGACGCAGATTCTGGCGCCCATACCGCAGGTAACTTAACGGTCCTGCTTAGATATCCTGTTTGAAGGACTTGATTCTTGAGGCAATTTAATGTGCTTTCCTCGGATTCAGGCCATTCCGTCCTCGCCCACCTCCCAATCAGGCTGTAGAAGACCAGCAGGCGGCTGCACCAGCAGAGAGCCTGGAGAAGAGTGAGCTAAAGCAGCAGCAGCCACAGCACGAGGTGGCAACGGCGGCGGCACCTGACAGCCCTCAGACCAATGGAGAAGCAGGGGAGGGCCAAGGCCAGAAACAACGCCGCCAGTTCAGACGACGCAGGCAAAGGAATTCAGAGTCCTCTGTCTCCAAAGTAAGATATTTTTGATCTTCAGCTATATCAAGATCACTCAGTGAGGAAACTATGCACAAATGAGCTGTTAGTGATGATTGGGAAGGAAAAGATCAGTACCCACATGAGCTTATTTTTCACTGCCAAGCTGTCCTGGTCACAGAAAACAATTATCAGAAGATATTAAGGCTCTAATGCAAGCAGTAAAATGCTGAACACTTATCATCACCATGCCCGGCGGATGGGCTGGCGGGCGAAACGCACCTAAGTTTGAATGCAAGAACGAGGTGATGTAATAATAGTAATAATAATGGATTTCATTTATATAGTGCTTTTTGGGGCCCTCGAAGCGCTTTACAAAACACTGGTGGAGGCAAGCTACAGTTGTAGCCATAGCTGCCCTGGGGTAGACTGACAGAGGATACCATGGGTGTGTCTACAAAAGTCTTGTACAAGTTCAAATCTCAGGGACCTTGACCTCAAGGTCAGAGGTCACACTTTCTCTAAATCACCTAGGATTTTCAAATTTATAACTTGGTTGCATCTGATAGGGTGCTGGGGGGAGCACTGAGAGCTGCCATCATTTTTAAATGTACTTGTACTGTAAATGTTTTTGTATATTTTACAGTCAATGTGGTGTTCTCATTGGCTTTAATCAGGATTTGAGTGGAAAAACTACAGTTCGCCTCATCTGAAAATATGCCTGATTGACAATGAAAACCCTTAAGTCCCTGTAATATTTATACTGTCTAGATGGTAGACAGGAGTCTAACTATTAGATGAATTTCTATGGTTTTGTGCCTGTATGATGGTTTAGCTGGATCTTCTGAAGTTCTAAAGCTTTGGTATTTTACTAATATTTTCACATCTCTTCCATGTATTGAAGAATGATACAGAGAAGTCTGCATCAGAGCCTAGTACCCCACCACAGACCTCAAAGCCATCTGATACAAAACCCACATCAAAGTCGCCAAAGACCTCTCCTAAAATCTCCCCCAAAACGGTAAAATCGCCTGAGGTAAGACATTAAAGTTGCTCTTTGCTTTCCCAGCTGGTTCATTTTTCATTGGTAGGTGTTTTGTTGACAAATCTCAGCTGTGTTCTTCACTTCAGCAGGCAGCTCCAACAACTGTCCCAGCACCAGCAGAGTGATGACCACGAGGATGGTCACACAACCCTTGGCAAGAAGTGGGACCCCACACTAAAGTGGCGCAACCTTGGATTAGACAGGGTGGGAGACGTGAGGGTGTAGGGTTGCACTTCTTGTGCTGCATGTGCAACATTAGCAGTCTGTCACAGAGGGCCTGATGATGGACATCAACTCTTTAGTCAAGTAAATGGATTTAAGGCGGAATGATGGCATTGAAAGGAGTCTTTGAGAACGCTGCCTGTGTTTGGAGTCAGACTTTTGTTTAACACAGGGAAGATTTTTGGCTCAAATTCTGGGAAATTGGATTTTCTTTCAATATATACCTTGGCTCGGGATTAAAAGTGCGCTTTTTATTTTTTTTATTTTTAAATTAAAGGTCTTCTTTTTTTTGGGGGGGGGGGGTCTTTCTTTCAATCCATCTCTCCTGCGCTTTCTTTTGTTTCTCATAGGTCCTAGGGTTGGAGGACTGGACCTATTTCAGACCACATGCACTGCTCTCCCCTCCCTGCACTCCCCCAATCCTCCATCTTACCACTTCTCACAGTCATCCTTCAGGCCCCTTCCCCACCCCCTCATCTTGTCTTGTCCTGTCCACACTGACATCTGGAGAGGGTGGGAAGGGAGCGCAGGTTAAGGGGATACAGGTAGTTGGTGGGTGCACATTTAGAAATTGAATGTACAGCTTTTAAAAAGGGGGAGAGAGGAAAAAATGGGAATGTTATTCCACCCCCTTAGAAATATTTCCTTTAATAGAGCAGATGGGGCCCATCATGTAGTTTAATTTGGCTTCTGATTAATTTGGTTAAAGAGGGGAAAGCTAAGCAGGTCTGCGATTGGTGATGCATAATGGGAGTCTGTTTAGTTCTGTTAACACCTCAAATCAATTCTTGAAACGTACTACTCCCTTAATCTTCTTGGTTGAGGTTGGATTAGAAAGAAGCTTAATTTCCTTTTTGTTTTACTTGTGTGTGCTTTTCTTTGGAGGGGATTATGTGCAATGTTAATACTTAAAATGCTAATTAATAAATCATGTTTGCAAATCAAGATTCATTCCCTTCTGACTGGAGTGCAGATTCACTGATGCCTTTGTACCATGTTTTTTTTTTTTTTTTTTTTTTTTTTTTTTTTTGCCAAAGAAATTGGATTACTTTTGTAGTGAAGAAATTGAAGGTGTAGAAATGAGGGTTCTTCAGGTGGTTTCATTAACAATATTTGCAGTACTTTCACTCTGGTTACATAACCACTGCATCAACATTCACACTATACAGATTACAGATCTCTGACAAGTCTGACACATTAAAGAATAGACTGCAAACGGCACACGTGACGGATGCAAAGAAAACACAACAAAAACTTGGCGATTGTGTGGCACAAACCTTGAAAGTCGGTGCTTGTACTTGGAAATTTCTCGAGTCTGCTTACAAAGCCGAACACCAGCTGGAGTGCGTAAAGAATTTAAAACCTAGACCCTCAAACACACTATGTACACATGAAATACAAAAGGCGTGATCAGAAGTAGCATTTCTGTGGTGCAGTGAGTTTCCTATTAGAGGAGTACTTTCACACTTTGAGAACACATGTGAAAACTCCAAAATATCAGCGTTTTGGTACTGATGCAGAAAACGCTTTTGGTAACCTAACAACCAGAGGAGTATGAAGGCTCATGTTCAAATTTGAGGCAAAATTTTGTTTCTTTACTGAAACTCATTTCCCCAGAGCACTACCTATACTGAGCCAATCACAACCATGCATCCAACAACGATAGTTTGTTACGACAGTTTACACTTTCAGGTCACACCGTACTGCGTCACACTATAATCAGATTATAATCAACATGAACTTAGAATGACCTTTGCTGTAATTTGTGCAAATGAAATCATGTGGACAGAAGCTGGCAGGGACAGACCATTAACTGTCCAGACTATATGAATGTGACACTCGTGTCCTGGGATGACCCCTCCATCGGCTAATATCTGGAGGAGTTCAGAGCAATGTCTGTGAAATCGACTCCAGAGGCATTTTGGTCCGCTTGATAATGCCCCTTGAGAAGTTTCAGACTGGTATTTTTACATTGATGCCAGGTTACACTTTGGATACATGAACATAGCACATAAAATCTGTTTTTAAAAGTATAACATGATTAAATGCATCTGTTACCTGTTCTTAAAGAACAAAAACACTACCTACCCATCATACCTTTTCTACATCTGCTTTGAGTAAATAACGGCTATAAATACCGGGTGTTACAGACACACTTCATTTGGCGCCAAAAAAGATTCAAAACCCACAGTGTGTCGACGGGATTCCTGTCATTGGAGATCAAAAAATCAATTCATATGTTAATCTCTTAAATGTGTGTTCCCATCTTTGGTAAAAACAGGCATGCTCCATCACACTCCTGGCTGCTGATCCTATTGTTTCTATGCCTAAAAACTTTGAAAACTGTAGATATCTGTTTATAAAGTGCAGGAATCCCCAAGTCTCTCCACACCCATCTGTCAATATTGCAACTGATTGCCATCACCATGGAATAAAGTCTTATTGCACTGGCAGTCAATGCCAGACAGGCTGTTCTTATTAGCATCTTCTTCCCTTGAAACTACAGCAGTCGACCTTTACTCCACTGGTTCGTAGCCTTTCAAGTGAAGCCAGAATTCATAACTATTAACCCTGTACTGCAGTGCTACCACCAAAGGACAATTCCATAACACCCAAATTGTCACACACTTTTAACACTGCTTTTTCACCACAATCTATGTGAAAAAAAAAATAAAGATCTCAATATACATATTAGCAAATAAAAGTTTGGTGTCATGCCCCTTTACCCAACTTTTCTCAAGCTGAGCTCAGTTCCATTTTTCTCAGTTCCATGGGGCATCTTCAGTTCATGGTATCCTCCCCCAAGTAGTCCATCTCAGTGCTGGGTTTGTCTATGTCCATACCCATGCCTATGCTCATATCCATATCCATCATCCCTCCAGCTGAATGCTGGTGAAAATTGGCTGCAATCTGGTCAAAGGTCTTGCCCCGTGTCTCTGGTACCCGGAAAAATGTGAAGATGAGGAAGAACAGAAGAAGAGCCGCGAAGATCAGGAAGACGTATGGCCCACAGAGGTCCTGCGGAAGGACGGGAAGAAGGTCGGATTATAAAGAGTTGAACTTGATGCCACATGCCTCTATTAACCGGTCAAGTAGCGGTTTTCATGTTTTCATCTGTCTGTCCAGACTTAACTTTTCAAATGTGAATAAAAAATTTGATTTTGTAAGGTTGGTAACCTTTAAAGACCAAAATCTAATCAGTTTATCTAAGAGGATAAAAGATTGTCGAGCCAAAAAAGAATAACAAAACTGAAGTGGGTGAAAAATGGAAAAGCATTTGTGGACATGCACAACATCCATTGTGGATACTCACAGCGACATACTGGAAGCACATGCCAATAATAAAGTTGGCAGTCCAGTTGGAAAAGCCTGCAACAGCCATGGCAGCTGGCCTTGGACCTTGAGAGAACAGCTCAGCTACAAAGAACCAGGGGATGGGACCTGGGCCAACCTCAAAGAAGGCCACAAAACCAAAGATAGAAAGCATGCTGATGTAGCTCATCCATGGAACACTGTCCTATAGAGCAGAAGAAAAGTGGGTTCAGATGTTTGTGGAGACTAGAAATCATAGATAAAATACCGAAGTCTGGAATACCATAGTCTGGATTTTATTTATTTTCCTTTTTTTTGGATCGGGGCTTACTTACAAGTAAAGCAAGAGCCACGGTCATGATGACGGCACAGATGCACATTCCACCAAGTCCTAGCATGTGGAGCGTCCGTCGACCCGTCCTCTCTACCAGGAAAAGCTGTTAATATGAAGGTAAAGGGGGGATGGGGGGTTAACCTCAGCTGACATTTGGAGCTAAAGCATTTGATTTGGTCAGATTCTTTCTCAAATATGTATAACGTCAGGTCACTATAATGCTAAAACCACATTTACCATATACCTAACTGCAGTTCAGGACTTCTAAAACAGTGTTAACCATAGTTTAACAGTGATTTTACAAGCGTGCGCTCATAAAACAATCTATTGTATCAAATTACAATAGTCGGTCTCTAACCCTGAAGCCGTGGCACTCTTACGGCTAAAGTCGTACATCTTTATCCGCTTGATGACACTGAAACATTTTGACTCCTCTTATCTTGTTTACCCTTTGATAACAGTGTTAAACAGTAATAGAGTGACTCTGTCACAGGGCGTGAATGTTTATTGTTCCAAATTCAAAAAGTTATTTAAACGCTCCCAAATTGAATTTCAAAAGTGCGATAAAGGCACGTCGGTGCGATTTCTCACCGAGACTACCGTGAAGGCACAGTTCACCACCCCGGCTCCTATGGTGGCATAAACTGGACTCTGGACTCCTGCTTTCATGAAGATACTGGTGGAATAGTAGAATATCTGCCAGAGGAGTAAACAAATTTAGGTCAATGTTGAACAGCACTGGCTCCTGATTTTAAAGGACTGCTTGTTTCTGGAACTTTAGGTGAGTCAGTGTAATTTGAAGGACTCACTGCATTAACCCCCGACAGTTGCTGGGAGAGCTGCAGGAGGATGGCGATGATAATGGGCTGGCGGTAAAGCGAAGAGCGAAAGAGTTCGGGTATGGACACCTTCCTCTCCATGTCCATCCTCCGCTTCTCCTCCTTCATCTCTGCCAGCATGTTGCCCACCTCCTGTCTGCCTGTTAGCCTCCTCAGGCCTGCAGAAAGTAGAAATGTAGGAAGTTTTTTTTTTTTCATGTACAAAAACTCATCTGACATTTTAGCAGCTAATTCTGTAAGTCCAACTGATACTCTGTACATTGAGTCCTGTAAATGTCTGATAAACCCAGACATCATGAGTGCGGAGTTGATCTGACCGAGGAACTGGAGACACCACACAGTATGTAAAGGCAAAGCCAAATAGCCGTGGTTTAAACTATAACCTGATTTATCTACTATTTAACTCACCGTGAGACTATGATTTACAGAATTAGTTAAAAAATATTTAAAAGTAATTACTGAGGCCATAAACTCAGCAGAAAAAACAGTTTACTGTGGTCAGAGATAAGACTTTGGTAGAATCAGACTTCTTTTTGCAACCAGAGGAGTCTCCCCCTGCTGGCCAAAAGAAAGAATGCAGATTTCAGGCACTTCGAGTTAGTTTCGCTTCTCAGGTACAAACATTAGTATCCATCAGTTATATATAAGAAAGTATAAAGTGATATGGGTCAAAGTGGGACAAACCGAAACACAGTAGCTGACTGCCCCTCGCTGAGCTTGGTTGAACTGAAGGTTTCTTCCTGTTAAAAGGGAGTTTTTCCTTCCCACTGTCACTAAGTGCAGTTTTCTCTTTATTGTTGTAGGGTCTTTATCTTACAACATCAAGTGCCTTCAGATGACTGCTGTTGTGATTTTGCGATATATAAATTGAATTGAATTGAAATGAAATTGAAAAAAAAAAGATCCTACATTTCCCAAAATGCAACTCAGCATCTTATTTTATAAGGCCCTATCTGCCTCCTAATGCTAAAAATCCAGTTTATAGTGTAGAATTTAAAATGTAAAACTTAGTTACATAATAAGAATAATAATAGTAAACCAAGACCTTAAAATAAAGCAGCCCTACTTACCACTCTTGGCGTGGTGCTCCTGACACCGGACGATGTAGAGGAATCGGGGGCTCTCGGGGCAGAAGGGCAGCAGAGCCATCTGAAGTACAGTCGGCACAACAGTTAATCCCAGCAGAACAGGCCATAAGTGCTCACTGCCGAGTAGCGACTCCAAGCCGAGGACCTGCACAGGGAGAGGAAGCAAGTTTGAGTGTGTGACATTTCAAAAGATAATATGATAAAGCACCTAAAGACAATCCTTTATAGGTGGAAGTAAAGGAAAAGACGGGGAGGTGCACAGACAAAGAGAATGGATTTGAGGATTCAAGATGTGTTTTTTGTGAGCAGACTTTTTAAACGTGGCCTGGAAAGGCCCACTGAATGTCGGGGACATGGAGACAGAGAAAAGATGCCGATGCTATTTATAGACGGTCGTTCCTGCCATACCTGTGCGAAGAGAATGCCAGTGACAATAGCCAGTTGGTGCAGCGTCCCCAAAGCTCCTCTGAGACTCGTAGGTGCTATCTCACCCACGTACATTGGTGTCAAGCCAGATGCCAATCCTGCATCAAAGGAAGAGTTAAGGAAGCAAGAGATTGTTAAACCACTCATTAAATGGACACATTAATGGAGAGTAAAAGAGGGAAGAGACAGTGGGCAGCTCACCACAGTAGGCACCAATGACAAAACGTCCAAGGATCATCATTTCAAAGGAGCGGCAGAGCTTAGACATTCCCATCAGACTTCCTCCAATAAAGGCAAACAAGTTGTTTATAAGCATGGCTTTCCTCCTGAAAGAAGCACAGACCTGCATTTTTGAAACCATTTTGAAATGATAAAACAGCAGGGTTTTTGTCCAGCAGAGTTGTGCACATCTAGTTTGGATATGCACACTGTTTAGTAGTGGAAAAACACTAAGAAGCCACTAGAGGGCAGTATCACACAAATTATTCAGTATCGCACAGAGACACTGGTTTATTCAGCACTTTAACATTTAGTTGATCCACAAAATCCTGTAGAAGGCTCAGAGGAGTATTACAGAAAAGTAACATGTGTGACTAGATTTTGCAGTCTGGTGTTATTTTACTTTACTAGACTGTGATCGGAACCAAAAAAGAGTCTTTCCCACCTAATTTAGAAGTAGCACAGTTCCTACAGCTCAGCTTACACTGTCAGGAATTTACTTGACACAAGCAACAAGATACCTCACGTATATATTTTGTAACATTCTGTTAATACCTTGGGTTGAAAATGTTTTTTTAATATATATTTTAAAAGTCACTGAAAAGTTGCTTCTGATGAGGTTGTAAGCTTATGTAAGCTGCACATTCAGGACTCTGTTAAGATGTCCTTTCAGCCAGTGGAAGCTGTGGACTGCAGCCCAGTTTGCACAGACTCAGGTTACAGCAGGAAACTGGGTCATAACATCCCGGACAGAGCTTTCACTGAATGACTGGTTTTATTTTTGGGCTTATACGGAACTGAGAAGGAGATACTTATGTATCACAATAAAGGCTAGCTAGAGAAGGCTTTGGACTAGTGTTGTCGTTTGCTTAGATTAAGGTTTTAATTGCTCTGTTTATAATGACGATTTATCATTTGCTGTTGAACACTGTGTGGTGTTTTGTCGTGTCTGCCTGGCTGTTTCCTAAAACAGTCTTGGTTATCGTTGTAGTGCATTAAAACTTGAAGTCTCTGTTTGTGGTGCTTTTTAAAATTGCTTTCTTGTTTTTCATTCACCCTTAAAACCACGTTTATATGGATCCACTCCCGCTGCATGCAAAATCCTACTTTCCTTACATAAGTGTGTCTTTTTGTGTGTGTTTGAGTGGACTGGGTGCTGCTTTCTTTCTTTTTTTAACTGAAGATACTTCAGACAAACTCCCTACCCACTTCACTCTTCATTAACCCACAGCTTCTACCCATTTACACATGAAAAATCAGACCTTTCATTTGTATGTAAGGAGACTGCGAAGTATGTGTGTCATTTAGGAAGAAGAAATGTATACTTTTTAAATCTTTGCTCATGTATTCAGACTTTGTGCAGTTTGTTTCAGATTTCCAGAAAATCTTGTGGTTTGCTTTGAGTAATCTGTGCAACCATGGGCACAGACGGAAACCATCCTCTAAATGTTACAGTTAAAGCAGAGTGTAAGATTAATGAGCCTGTTCTATCTGCTCCATCTCATAAAACAGTATTTCATAGGCTTAGCTTCACGAACCCATCAGGATAAAAGCAACGTATCCCCTCGAGACCACTAGAAAAGGCTAAGCTTGACCTGCGTTGTCTCACCTGCCCAGCCATTCAGAAACAAAGCCCACGCAGAAGGAGGAGACCATGCCGCCGATGGAGAAGATGGCAACGGACAGCGACCAGAGCGAGGTGAGGGTCCCCGTGGGGATGGGCTCCCCGTACCGGTACATCCATGTTGCATTGTAGTCCCCCTCAATGATCTGCAAGGAGTGCCAAGATAAGTTGGAGCAAGTGACTAGAGGAGTGAGAGAAGAGCAGCACAAACTGGGTAAAACGGAAGGTAAGTTTGGAGCGAGGTCTTGCAGACAGGGCCCGCATAGAGCTTAAAATCAGCTTTTGTAAACATGGAGTATATAAAATGGGCTGCTTGAAGGCTGGTGGTTAAGTCACTTGTCTGCATGGCTTTGAATACAGTGAACTACGACAGGAAAAAAAAGCTATATGTCACTTTAAATATGAACTTGGATTAGATAAAGGCTTGCAGCGTGAAGCGCTTTGAATGGCTGCATGGACCATAAGAATACTATGTAAATCAGGCCATGGGCTATTTAAATAGACAAGCACACCATGTAAGTAACAACTTACTCTCATAAGTTCATATTTTCAGAATGCTTTCCTCATTTTTTAAAAATATAGACTTATATTATCTCACATATACACACTTGTGCCTGGGAGGTTTCAGTTAATGAGATCTTTGTATGTACAAGTAACCACCGAGAGCCAGAGGTTTCGAGTTCAGAGTGCTCTAAATACTCGGTTTCAGAGGGTTTTTCTCTGTTCTTGGATCTACATGATGTCATAGAGAGTGGAAAACCCAAACATGGTCACAAATCAGCCCCACCCAGCTGCTGTTTAAGTGATCACTTTACGTGGGGCAGCCAATCAGAAGAAAGCAGGATTAAAAAGGCTTAAAAATAGAGTGACCTTAAAGGGAGTGTTGCTCTTTGTGTCACACTATTTGTAAGAAAGATGTATTTTATTAAATCAAACAAGTGATCTGTAGATAATTATGCTCACATTTTCCCAAGTATCAGAAAAGTTTAGTTGATAGCTGCCCTGACCCGTGCCAGGATTTTAATGATGGATGTCAGAGCTGAGATGCCCATAAATGCAAAAGGCTTTTCTACACAGCGTCCAAGTACCGTGGCACACAAATGAAGGGCCGCTCTGTTTAAAGAGATAAATGCGGATAAACGCACAAAATTTGCTTTCAGATGTGGGAAATGAATCATATTTCTCACGCCTTTTTCTCATCATGCAAACAGAAATATTTCCTTGTTTCCATGACACCTGGAGCAGGGATGTGTTGTCATTTTTGTGATGACACGTAAAGATGGAAAGGAGCCTCGCCCTGCTGTGTCTGTGGTCACCTGACTTTGCTTCGGAAGGCTTCACGTGACATAGTTTTATTCTTTTTGGTTTATTGTCTAAACATCACCAGGCAGCGTGTTGTGGTGTCAAAACACACCACCTTGTAAAATCAGGCGAAGCGACTTTGTTGACGTCTGGTTAAAATGACAGTGTTGGACTCGTGCATGACACCAGTGTTACATGTTTTATTCTTTCATTTTATATTATGTCCATTCGCCTTTCTTTCTTTCTTTTTTTACCTTCTGTGGCGCATTGATGACACCGATGTTATATCCAAACTCCAAAGATCCAAGGACAGCCGTGAAGACTGACAGAGCGAGGGTTCCAGTCACTGTCTGCAGCAGAAACACGCACACACACACACACATAGACACAAAGAAGTGAATTACAAATAATTTGTTTTTCAGAACAGTGAATAATCCTGAAAGGTGTTTTCATAACTGTAACAATAAGATAACTGTTGGACAACCACGATTATCTTTTTAACTCTCACTCAGTCACTCTCTCTCTCTCTCTCACACACACACACACAACACTGCTGCTCAGCTAACGTCAACTATATATAACCGTGATCCTGACTAGAGACAATCTCTGCAGTGCCGTTCATGACTTCTCTGACTACTTTCATGTCGACGCCTGAACTTTAGCTTCCCTCCAGTTTCCCATCAGCCCTCTGCCACCTGTCTGCAGGGTGACAGACAGGATGACCTTGGGGAAAATTAACTTCTTCCACTCCAGCATGGTTATAAAATTTTAAATTTCATTTATTTATAGGTCTTTTGTGCTTTTGGAGTAACGCCGCCTGTAAGATTTAAGTCTGTGATGAACTGTTGGATGAGCACACAAACACAGACGGGTACTGTCGAAACAACGAGCTTCCTGAAAAGTTTTTTTTTCCATTTTGGTGACGTGGGCTTATGGACTGATACAACAGCAACATGATGCTGGTGATGCTGGTAAAATTTGCTGGACCTAATTTGACCCCGCGGTTCTGCTCAGCCACCTTCTGCAAATATGTTGTCCGTGTAAATCTGTAACTCTTGACCTTGCTGAGTTGAGCTTTTGATAAGTGCTGCTTAACATTCACAAACCACAACAAAGAGGTGTGTAGTGGTGAGCGTGTGCGTCCTTGTGGAAAAGGTAAAGTGCCAGAAGTGGCCACTAATGTTTCATTACACATCCCGCACTTCACTGCATGCACACTTTGCAGTAAATTTCCAGGCATTATGCATGAATCTGCACCTGCTTGTATTTACTGTGAGATACAACACAAGCCCAGATTAAACACAAAACTATCTCAGGTTGTGCAGGTTATCTCCGTCTTTAAGTGATTTAAATAGAGACAAGCACGTGACTGCTTCTTCCCCTTTTCAGATTTTATGCTTAGGGGAAATATTTTTGCATTAAACACAAACACACACACACACACGTA